ACATATGTTTCATGAAGAAAAAACAATGTTACTAATCAAGCGTATTCTTAAGAAAAAAAAAGTAAGTAACTTCCTTTCTTTTCTTTTCTTTTTTCTTTTAAAAATAATTGCGTAATACAAGACAATAGATCATTTTTTGGGGAGGGGGATTAACTTGTGAACCCACGTGAGATACCACAAATAGTTACTAAGTAGTATATTTTAGTTTTACAGCTTCCGTTCTATCATTATTTCCATAAAGGTAAATCATTATCTTTTTTTTCCGTGAAATTTATTAAATGTAAAGGAGTAACAAACCCTTCAGATAAATAAAAGCGACTTATGTAATAAGTCCTGTGTACAATCTCTTCAGAAAGATCTGGGATGAAGAACAAGTACCAAAAGACTGGAAAGAAGGACTTCTAGTCAAAATACCAAAGAAAGGCGATCTCAGCAACTGTGACAACTACAGGGGAATCACTCTTCTTTCAATACCAGGAAAAGTCTTCAACAGGGTATTGTTAAACAGGATGAAGGACTCCATAGACGCCCAACTTCGAGACCAACAGGCAGGTTTCCGTAAGGATAGATCGTGCACAGACCAAATCGCAACTCTACGGATCATTGTGGAACAATCAATTGAATGGAATTCATCACTCTATATCAACTTCATCGGCTACGAAAAAGCATTTGATAGCGTGGACAGAACAACCCTATGGAAGCTTCTTCGACACTACGGCGTGCCTCAGAAGATAGTCAATATCATACAGAATTCCTATGATGGATTAAACTGCAAAATCGTTCATGGAGGACAGTTGACAAAGTCGTTCGAAGTAAAGACCGGTGTCAGGCAAGGTTGCTTACTCTCACCCTTTCTCTTTCTCCTGATGATCGACTAGATCATGAAGACATCAACATCTGAAGGGAAGCACGGGATACAGTGGATAGCTAGGATGCAATTGGATGATCTGGACTTTGCAGATGATCTGGCTCTTCTATCGCATACGCAACAACAAATGCAGGAGAAGACAACTAGTGTAGCAGCTGCCTCAGCAGCAATAGGTCTCAATATACACAAAGGGAAAAGCAAGATTCTTCGATACAACACAGCATGCACCAATTCAATCACAATTGACGGAGAAGCTTTGGAAGATGTAAAAACCTTTACATATTTGGGCAGTATCATCGATGAACACGGTGGATCTGATGCAGATGTGAAGGCACGGATTGGCAAAGCAAGAGCAGCATATTTACAACTGAAGAACATCTGGAACTCAAAACAATTGGCAACCAACACCAAAGTCAGAATTTTCAATACAAATGTCAAAACGGTTCTACTGTATGGGGCCGAAACCTGGAGAACTACAAAAACCATTATCCAGAAGATACAGGTGTTTATTAACAGTTGTCTACGCAAAATACTTCAGATCCGTTGGCCAGACACTATTAGCAACAACCTACTGTGGGAGAGAACAAACCAGATCCCAGCGGAGGAAGAAATCAGGAAGAAGAGGTGGAAGTGGATAGGACACACATTGAGGAAAGCACCAAACTACGTCACAAGACAAGCCCTCACATGAAATCCTGAAGGTCGAAGGAGGAGAGCAAGACCGAAGAACACATTACGCCGAGAAATGAAGATAGATATGAGAAAAATGAACAAGAATTGTATGGAACTAGATAAGAAGGCCCAGGACAGAGTGGGTTGGAGAATGCTGGTCGGCGGCCTATGCTCCATTGGGAGTAACAGGCGTAAGTAAGTAAGTAAGTACAATCTAATGGTTACTATTAATAATCTTACTGAATACATTATTATTATGTTACAATTTCTTAAGATATGATCACTTACGACAAGTCTATCTGTTGTGGGTTTAAGACCGGCTAATTATCGTGTAATTTATTCGTCAATCGGAATACGACTTATTCAATCTTAGTATTGTGCTAACTCAATGACGTTCGAATGGTATGAGAAGCCTACCGTCGTTATCAGTCCTTTTCCCTCTTAACCTTGCCGGTTGAGTCCAAAACACTAATACCAGCTTCCACTATGCGAATCATTTATTTCAAACATGCTTGGCCCGTATACCAGTCAAACAGACTGTATCATATCATAAAATAGGAAATAACATTTATACAAAATTAACGATCGTCCCTTCCCTATGGTGCATAGCTGTCACACGGCTGACATGGTTCCAGTAAGAAAGTGTGACCTCTAGAGTTTAACCATATAAAGTATGAGACAGTTAATCACACATTCTTGATAAGTGATATTCATAAAACTATTCGTGTTCTTTAATATAACCCATGAAAAACACTATAAGCAAATGAAAACTCAACGAATCAACCAATGTCTTCCCTAATATATCACATAATTGATTCATTTCATTTTGTTGTGTTGAACCAGTTATGAAAGATAAAATTATAAGATAACTACTGATGATAAATTATACGTTTAAAGAAACATTATTCATTTAAATTGAATATAGAATAAACTAAAATTAATGTTTATCAGTAGTTGTAAGTAGTTATGATTAGTAGTACAATGATATTCATTGAAATATCATAAGAGTTTTGCCTTAGTTAAAGAAATGTGAACTATGGATAATTTTGACAATATACTTTATAGATCTTATCATGATCTATAATACTAATGATTTACATTTTTTTGTTACATATAGTGTTATGAATGAGAACGCAAGTGAGGATAATCGAATGTATTTCAATGCAATATTACAGAACATACAGTCAATCAATTTTCTCAAACTTGATTGTTTCGTTTGTAAATATCAGTCAATCATTTCAGACTTGATTGTTTCTGTATTTTTATACTAATTGCTTCCTGTTCTTGTTCTTTCTTTCTCCATCTTCTGATATCAGATATTCTAATCTATACTACTTATATCGATATAAGTAGCACACATCACAATAATTCATATGAAAAGAGATAGATTATATAGATTTTGAGAAATATTCAGAGACTACTTATATTTTAGTTAATATCAATCAGTCAGTCAGTCAGTCAGTTACAACCTAGGACCATGCACCTCCCAGATTTTAATTAAAATGTTAGTCAATCTAATCGCTAAAATTAGACCACTATACTTAAAAACCTCCGGAGCCAATCCATTTGGACCAGCTACTCTTCCTCGTTTCAGATTAGTTATAGAGTTGAGGGACCTACTTCAATGTTCCCTTCAAGCTTACTGGGAATGGTGGGTAGTTGTAGAGTAGCTGAAGGTAAGCTGAACTACTCCTTAAAGTATTCCGCCCATCGTCCTAAACGTCTGGACCAGGATCGAATATAAGTGTCTTCTTTTTCAGATATAGTCTCACACTTAACCTTTTAGTTCCAGTTTATTTTACGAGTTGTCTTATGTCAATATCAGTCACTATATATATATATATATATAATCCAAAGAAGTATTCAACTAGATTTAATCCAAAAGTAAAATATAACCCTTTAAATTTTTGGAAAAATTTTTTTTATTACCATTACAAGAAATCTAATCAATAATGCAAGTGTTTTTTTTATTTATTGATTTACGAATATGATATCCAATTACGTTTAAAATCACCCCCTCCCAAAAAACAGCAATCTATTGCTATGTGATTTTCTTAATACTTTTCCATCATTCTTCATTGTATAATGAAAATAATCATATCAGAAGGGGTTTTGTGGAGATTGTAGTAATTTCAATGATTAAAATTATGAGTCAGTTGAAGCCAGACCATCATGGAAAACCTGGAAGCACTGGATGTCCCACAATAGGACGAAACGGCCGTCCACTGCTTCCAGGTTTTCCATGATGGTCTGACTTCAACTGACTCATGATCATAATCATTGAAATTAATAATAATCAATGATAACAGATTATTTAAGGAAAAACACATATTTACCCTAATAATTTATTGGTTATCAAGCTTGTAAAATGTAACTCAAATAGTTTAACACAAACACATGCACACACAAACACATTCACACTCACACGCACCCACACCCACACCTACGCACACAAAAATATAGATTTCAATGTTTGTTTTTTTGATTTTCAATATTATAATTTATGTAAATATTGTCCATATTATCAGATAGGGTGTTAATTAAAATTAATTTTTTTTTTGTATCTAATATAATTTATATTTATATACTTCTTCATTTAACTGAATGATTAAATGATAATGTCATAGTCAGACAACTATGGAAAACTTGGAGGTAATAGACGGCCGTTTCGTCCTATTATGGGACTCCTCAGCTGTGTGCATCAATTGATATATAAATTTTAACTATAAAATAACTAAGATCTCCACAAAACTTCTTATGATAAATGATAATGACATTAAATGTATAAATAAAACTTATGACTATACGAATATATCTATGATAATTCGTGAATAAATTGTATCAGAAGGCAGAGAGTTTGTAAATCATGAATCCATTAAAGTTAGACAATCATAGAAAACATAGAAGTACTGAACGAGTTTAAATCCTAAGGGTTAGATCGTGAATGCGCATTGCTGAGTTGTCCCATACAAGGACGAAATGACTATCCATTACTTCTACGTTTTCCATAGTACTCTAGCTTTAATTGACTTATAAATGATCATTTTTTTTTATTCCATTGGAGTGAGAATTGTGATAATTTCTTGATGTCAAACCATAGTGTAGACTAGTGATGGAAGAGAATTGGATTATTTCAATAAATAGATATGACAAAAGATGTTAGTACAATGAAATAATCACAACCTTGATTTAATCTTATATGATTAAGTAAGTATCTATAATTGATCAAAAATCATAAACAAAGATGTAAATATCCATTAGAGATTAACAGTTCAAACATCAAGAAAGTATATGTAGTACAATTAAACTTTTCACTCTTTAATACCCTTTCACTTTTTTTTCGACATGGATTAGGAATATTAAATGATTACTTTTGAATCATTTACAGAAACAAAATAACAATAGATATATGTTCTTTTTTAGTTTGAAGTTTTATAACCACACAATCTAACAAACTAACCAGGATTCATGCATCTCACAATAAGCACAATAACATTTATTCCAATGATTTATATTTATAATTGTACTCAATTATTAATATCATATAACAATCAACTAGTATCATTGATAAGTCTGTTCTCATTCATCTGATTATTGAGCCTAACTAGTTACAACTATTCAATTGTATTTATTTCATTTAACTCATCCATATTAGAACAGAAACTATAAAACAAATGAATGTAACAAATAGACATGGTTTTTGAACTTAAATTGATTTCTTTTTTTTTTTTTTTGGTAAACATTATTAATATACAAACCCTACCCCTCACCCTTCCATGTTATTTTTACACAATTAAACTTATTTAAGCTTTTGTTTCTCTTTCATCAATATTTAATATCCATATGTACTACAAACCAATGAAATGGTTACTAATTCAAAGCATTTTAAAAAAAAAATAATTGGATACCATTTTACAAGGATAGTTTGTATATAACATACCCTTGTGGGTCAGGGTAATTTTACACTGGTTTTCAAGAGAACAAGACACTATATAGACTTTGACGTGATAATCTAAACAGTACAGCTTAATCCTTTTGAACAAGAAAGTCAGACACCGTTCAGGCTTAAATTTTATAAGGATAATAACCATATAATCATAAATGTAACCATACTAAAATGCTTACCGTATCAGAGAAAGACTAAATGTACAGATTCTTCCGTTTGTATTTTGATCTGTTTATAAATATATATATATTAATATAGACTTTTATGATTTATATATCCAATGAACAGTATTGACTGGATCCAATATAATCAAGATTAGTTATTGTGTTAGTAATTAATTACAATATTGTACAAGTATAATTACCAAATATATATATATATATATATATATATATATATATATATGTATATATGATAGAATGTTAATCATTATTCCCAATAGTCAATAAGTGTTTATTTAATTACATCAATTAACCAATCAAATAAATCGGTGATCTCATTAACTGAAATCAACCAATAGAAATGCAGGAAAAATTAATTTTTTTTTACTTTTTTTTTTAAAAAAACAACAAATAAAATGGAATTGAAAAAATTTGTCGTTAAGGGGTATATATAACTGTGATTGTATAGTTTTCTTTTTATTTTCTCTGAAAATATCAGAAGAATAAAGAAGAACAACATGACGATCAGGGGTGGGGTGGGGGGGGGTTAGAAGAAAATCATTGTAATAAATTTAATTTACAGATTAATAATCATATAAAATATCATTATATTCTTTAATTTCTTAAAACGAGTCTAATCTAATGAAATGGAAGTAGATATTGAAAAAGATGAATAATAACTGGAAAGAATTGTAAAAGATTTTTTAGGACATAAGGTTGAATGAAGAGTGACTTGTGAATGGTCTATCCTCCCTGACGAGGGGTAACAAGCATAAATTGCAAAAAAACCAAACAAAAAAAACAGACAAAATACGTCTAATCTAGTAGTTAATCAACTTTCAAATCCATAATATGTAAGAATATCCAGGAAAAGAAAATGTAAAACAAACCAGTGATTATATAAATGTCAAATATATACAAATTCAATTTGGGTTACATTCAATAGTAAACTAATGCAAATAAAATAATCTGTTTAGAAAAAGGTAAACTGAAAATGTAATACATATTTCTTTATCAGTAAAATGAAATACAATTATATTTAGCAAACTAGGGAATGTTCTTTAATGCAGGATAATTAACTGGTATATACTGCTGTAGTTTGTTGAGAAAAATTGAAAAACAAGATAGAATGCAATTATTTTATTGGTTCATAATCATTGATAAGAATTCATGATCTACAGTCAATCAGTCAGCTATAATGTAGGACCAGGTATATATATATACATTAATCCAAGTTGCCATACCTCCTTAGCACAACAAGATGAATGCCGATTTCATAGAAGTAGTTAATTCAATGGTAGTAATATATAAATGAAAGATTACATATAGTGACATATTATGGGAAGAAAGAATTAGTTGATAGAAAGAAAGATATGAAGAGATTTTAATTTCATAATTTAAGGGAAGACATAGAGTGTATACACCTACACCATTGTGATTATGAACTCATTTTAGGCCATATAAGGTATGATCTCAAGAGTTACATTAATCAACAGCCGTATATCAATAATTCTTCTTTATACCGTTAACATACACCCATGAGTTTAACAATTTCATTTATATATTTCAAAATTTGAAATGTATACGTATACGTATACTAGAACTATATTCTTACCATTCAAATTGTTTGGTTACTACGATTAAACTAAAAATATTTCAATGATTAAGAACATAAGTCAATTAAAGCTAGATCACCATGGAAAATCTCGAAACACTGGACATTCGTTTCGTCCTATTGTATGACTCCTCAACAGTGCACATCCATGATCTCGCCTTGCATGATTCCAACCCAGAACATATCAGTCTCACGAGTAAGCGCTTAACTACTAGACCACTGAACTGGCCATCATCCAACAGTGTTAATGTCTAACTTCAACTAATTCACGAAATATATTTGTTGAACAGTTATGAGACCAGTTAACACCAGATAATTAATTATAATGTCGTGTAATAAATTTTTTTTTAAAAAGGCTTCATTGATCAATAAACGAAAAAAAATAATACAAAAAAACCTTAGTAACACATTTACCTTATGGAGTGTGTGTAGGTGTGTGTGTTTGTTTCAATTTTAACTCGGATATATATTTGTACTAGTTCCCATGGCAAAACAAAATAATAAAACGATTCATCCATTAACTTTACCTAACCTGTCAATGTCATATTGTCTGACTAGTGTGATCAGCTAATTTCAAATCGATAAATTTAGAAATAAATGTCATGTGAATGTGATATAAATAAAACCGATTATTGTTTTTACAAATTACCCAACTAAACAGTTTTTTAGGAAGTTAAATTTTATGAGTACAAAAGAGTAGAGGATATCAATGGAATCTATGGACGCACATTTCGTTCTATTGAGACTCATCAGATGGATTCCACTATTAACCAGTATTCATGTTTGCTTAGAATGTTTTTGAATTAAAGCTATACGAGGCAATACACACAGTATGCACATATTTCAATAAGAGACTAATCAATTGTAGTCCTAAATAACAATCGGAAGATTTAAGTAAATGACACCAAGTGAATTGAAAATTTCATCCGATTGCACAAGTTAGCGGCTATCAGGACTCAGTATCTAAGTGGACAACGTGATGGCGTTTGAAATGATCGGTACTGAGTTCGATTTGTGGACTGAACATCAACTCTCTGATGTAGGTACATCTGGTTGACGAGTCCCAAATAGGACGAAACGCGCGTCCTTCATTCCACTGCTAGCCATTATCCATCTTTTCTAATAATGCTTGTAAATTAAGGAAATATCGAGGTAATACGCTTAGTATGCACATATGCTAATAAGAGACTGATCATTTACAGTCTTATAAACCTCAATGGGAAGATTCAAGTAAACTACACAAAGTAAATTAAAACTTCATTGTTTATATCATCAACTGACCCTAAGCAATCACTGAAATTCAGTGAACAGTAGAGAGCTGTAAGGTTTTTACTTATCAATCGCATTGAAAGATAGTTATAGAATATCACGAATTGATTGTAGTATTGAAATACAAACTATTGGATGTCAACTCCATGGTCTGGTTAATCATTTACCACAATACCTGATTAATGATCAAAGGTATAACCATTTAAATAAGACAAATTGAACTGTTTAGTAATACTCAACATCTTACTCATAGATTAATTCAAAACCATGACTTCTATTGATGCTTATCTGTTATTCTCTTTGAAAACATAAAACTTTACCATATTATAGTTTATATAACACTATGGATTCAATCTGAAACAAATGATTCATGATTATTGTCAGTATATTAATATGATTAAATAAATGTCAACTTCTAGAACTTACTTTTATTTCACTCAAGTTCTTTTCGTTGAAAAACGTTCATAGAAGTAGAATGTTGAAATTAGTAAGTTTTTGTCAATAAACTGTAGGTTTAAAGTGAAAAGTATCAAGTGTGAATGTGAATATGAATACGAGGAATGAGGTTAGATCGTGTACACTTGTCCTAGATATAATATAAAACATGTCAAGTGATTTCCAAATGTTAGCCACTATCCAAATTCACTTAAAAGTCAGTCAATCAACTTAAAATGATAATACATACTGAATAAACTCACTAGATTGGAATAGCTTAGAGAACATAGTAGGCGAGTAGAAAAGCTAAGAATACCCATGTCATACAGGTTTTCATCAATAGAGTCATCAATTCTTGGAATCTGTTACTCTAATCAATGGTGTCCGCACCTTTAATTAACTAATTCAATAGAAGATTAGACACTCACAGAAGTATACTAGAAAAGGAATAAAATAGGACGTAGACCTTGTATCCTTACTACACAAATCTGAATCTGATAAATCTCAAAAACTGGATAATTCAAATACGTAATAATAATAATAATAATAATAATAATAATAATAATAATAATAATATGTATAATAACCCAGATTTTCAATCCATACAACATGAAATCAGCAAAAATATCAATTTAAACACTGTCAAGCAAACGTAAACATTAAATCCTTCTTGATTGAAATCATGAAGTTATTGATGTTAGACCACCATTAAAAACCTGAAAGCATTGGACGACCGTCTCGCTCTATCGTGGAACTCCTCAGCAGTACGCATCTACGATCCCACTCTCAAGATTCGAATTTAGGAACTTTGGTCTCACGCGCAAACGCTTAACCTCTAGACCATTGAGCAGGCATCTAACGGTGTTAATATCTAACCTGAACCAATCCACGAAATCATGCGACCATCTTCCATTATACTGAAGTAAATATCTGTTTCTACATGACATAGATTAACATCTTCCTTCTGTTATGAACCATATTATTGTGAATAATAATAATCATTCAATGCTTTGTTCTTTCATTTGTTTCCATAGTTCATAAAACTGTTGAATCATTTCTTTCTTCTATGATAAATATGAAGAAAAGTAAGAAAAACAAATTTGTTTATTTCGTTTTCAATATGTCAATTGTGTTCGGATAATAATAATAATAACAATAATAATAATAGTAGTAATGGTAGTAATAATGTAGTAGTAGTAGTAGTAGTAGTAGTCGTGGTAGTAGTCGTGGTAGTAGTAGTAGTAGTAGTCGTGGTAGTAGTAGTAGTAGTAGTAGTAGTAGTAGTAGTAGTAGTAGTAGTAGTAGTAGTAGTAGTAGTAGTAGTAGTAGTAGTAGTAGTAGTAATGATAGTAATAATGATAATAATATCTCACATTTCATTTCTCATTTGAGAGGAAACAACTATAATCCTTTTCTTTTGTTTAGTTTTCAATTGTTAATTCATTTATTATCTTATTTTCACGGTCAACCCCTCGCAACTAAATGTCCTTGTATATATATATATATATATATATATATATATATATATATATATATATATATATATATATATATATATATATATATATATATATATATATATATAGTATTGTTAAAGTCTTTGACTATTCCTTTCTTCATTATCTGAATGGCTTTTATTTTCATTAATCGGTTATAAAAGAAAGATGTTATTTCACTAATTACTTAAAGTGATTATCATTATTATTATTGTAAATGATAATTATCTTGATTTCAGTAGTATCACTGATTAGGATATTAATATCTCTTGATTCGATGAATTCGATGAATTCCCACTTCATGTTAAGTTCAATTGTATTGTAAAGCCAATGAAATGTTACTGAGCCCTAGCCAACTTCCTGGATTGGTTGAAGTTAGACATTAACACCGTT